GAGTACTGAAAGTGAAAGATACTTAGACCCCAAATTGGCTGACACTTTCAGTATGTTCTCTTATTTGACAACAGAATGATACAATAATAAATAGCTGCCCAGAGAGAAAATAAACTTGTACTAGATCTATTTAGACAGAGGTTGAATGTTCTCTTTTAATGGAAGTTGTCAGTGGTTCCTTTGTCAATGGGAGATTGGACTATTACACCTTCAGTGTCTTCCAACATTGATGATTCTCTGGTCTTGTATGTTGAGACTTTTCCTACCTAGTGTCATAGCCTCTACTGTGATAGGAGTCTGTTCTATCTTTCAGTTCTTCAAACTTGTAGTATGCTATATATGACAGGCAGCGTGTTACGATGCAAGGGTACTATTTAAACAAATAAGATACAGTCAACCATTAAGGAAATAGGAGATTACTATAAGGTTGATGCATATAATAATAGAAGTAAGAAGAAGGCATTAATCAGAATTATATGAGGTGGAAGGACCTAACCAAGCCAGGTAGGGGCTTATCAGAAAAAAAGAAAAAGAAATAAAAGTCTAGCTTCCCTGAAGAGGTTAACTCCTGAGCTGACTCTTTAAAGATGAGTAGACTTTACCAGACATGCACAGGGAATGATATTTCTTTCTAGGCAGTGGAGGAACATATACAGGGGCTCTGAAAGAGGGCATGCTTTGTTTGGAGAACATGTGAATGGGGACTGGTGAGAGAAGCCAGATGAAGAAGGACTGTGTTTGCCATGCTAAGCAATTTGGACTTTGTCTTGAAGGTGGTGTGAAGCAATTGCAGGGTTAGAGTAGATACATGGTCAGATTTGTGTTTTAGAACATATTTAGAACATTTTAGACAAGTGTTTTGATCTCTTTGCCTCTAACAGAGCTCCATGCCAATATGTCCCTAAATTATTTAAAGCAATAATTTAAAGAAAAATGTCTCAGGATAGTAGGACTGGAACGGTTGGGGAGAGGGATGAATTCAAGAGCTACTAAGGAGGTAAAATCAGTGTAGGTAAAATTTGGCCAGAGAAAGGCTGAGTGCAGGGATGATCTTCAGGTGTCTGGGTTGGCCAAGTAGATAGGTGAGTAGTTGTCTTAACTAAGACAAAGAAATTAAGAAGAAAGGAATTGTACAGGGGTTTTTGGAATTGTACAGGGGTTTTTGTTTGTTTTTTGTGGGTTTTTTTTTTTTTTTTTTGGCCTCAGGATAATTTAGAGAGTGCTAACTTGAGTGAGGGTATAGGTTTTTCATTTCATTTTCTTATACTTGTGTGTGTATGTTTGTTTGTTTAATTTATTTATTTAGAAGACACAGTCTTGCTCTGTTGCCCAGGCTGGAGTACAGTTGTGCCACCTCAACCTCCCCCTTACTGCAGCCTCCACCTTCTGGGTTCAAGCGATTCTTCTGCCTCGGCCTCCCGAGTAACTGGGATTACAGGTGCATGCCACCACACCCGGCTACTTTTTGTATTTTTTGTAGAGATAGGGTTTTGCCACGTTGGTCAGGCTGTTCCCAAACTCCTGACCTCGGGCGATCCACCTGCCTCAGCTTCCCAAGTGCTAAGATTACAGGCGTGAGCCACCTAACATGAGGTGATCCACCTGCCTCAGCCTCCTAAAGTGCTGGGGATTACAGGCATGAGCCACTGTGCCCGGCCTGTGCATGTTTTTAAAATGTGATATAAAAGAGTAATAACAGGATGTGTTTATTCCCCTCCTCTCCCCAGAATTTCTCTCTTTTAGCCAGGCTGTAGTGAAGTGGTGTGATCTTGCCTCACTGCAACCTCCCCCCAACCCTCCCCTCTGGGTTCAAGCGATTCCCCTACCTCAGCTTCTGGAGTAGCTGGGATGACAGGCGCGTGCCACTATGCCTGGCTAATTTTGTATTTCTAGTAGAGATGGGGTTTCACCATGTTGGCCCAGGCTGTTCCCGAACTACTGACCTTGGGTGATCCACCTGCTTCGGCCTCCCAAAGTGGTAGGATTACAGGCGTGAGCCACCGCACCCGGCAACAGGATGTATTTTCAAGGAAGGTTATGGAATTCTTCTGGAAATCTGGTAGATTAAGGTAGGCCTTCATTTAGGTAGTTTAGGAATGAGTGATCTGCTTAAATTCATTTTTAGAAAATCCAGAGGTTTTTACATTGCCAGTCCTTTGTCAGAATTTTTAACTTTTAAGATATGTGGAAGATTAGCTTGTTTGTGCAAACTAGCTAATTTGGTGATAGTTCTGATGCGGCATTATGCATTTTAAAATACAAAATGATTTTCCTCAGGATGCAAACTTTGATTTTCAAATCTTTCATTGGTGACATGTGGGAATTGATGTTTAATCCTTTGCTATTTAACACTCCTGACAGAAAGGACAGTTCATTTTTATAGCTTTGTCACATCATTTTCTTAAGATCACTTTTAGATTGGTTGAGGTGCTTACCTCCTTCATGGAAAGAATGAGACTTGCTTCAGCTGGGTGCAGTGGCTGATGTCTATAATCCCAGCACTTTGGGAGGCTGAGGTGGGTGGATCACGAGGTCAGGAGTTTGAGACCAGCCTGGCCAACATAGCAAAACCCCATCTCTAGTAAAAATACAAAAATTAGTCGGGCAGTAGTGGCACATGCCTGTAATCTCAGCTACTTGGGAGGATGAATGAGAACTGATTGAAGAGAACTGATTGAGCCTGGGAGGTGGAGGTTGCAGTGAGCCAAGATCGCGCCAGTGCACTCTAGCCTGGGAGGCAAGAGCGAAACTCCATCTCAAAAAAAAAAAAAAAAAAAAAAAGGAATGAGGCATGCTGCTTCTTAACAGAAAATTGGAGGTATTAGTTTAAGATTTTGAGATTTTACTCTGTAAGGGGGCACTTATTATGTTTGTTTCTTGAATGTTGTATTGTTTCTTATCAGTTAGGTCTCCTTTCTCTGTAGTTTTGATTTCTGCTGCACCTTTGACAGCATTCAAGAGGTGACTCTTCCAGTAACGCAATAAAGAACTGACCATAATACTTTTTTTTTTTTTAAGATGGAGTCTTGCCGGGCACGGTGGCTCACGCCTGTAATCCCAGCACTTTGGGAGGCCGAAGCGGGTAAATCACAAGGTCAGGAGTTCGAGACCAGCCTGGCCAAAATGTTGAAATCCCGTCTCTACTAAAAATACAAAAATTAGTGCGGTGGCACATGCTTGTAATCCCAGCTACTCAGGAGGCTGAGGCAGGAGAATCGTTTGAACCTGGGAGGCGGAGGTTGCAGTGAGCCAAGATTGTGCCATTGCACTCCAGCCTGGGTGACAGAGTGAGACTCCATCTTTAAAAAAAAAAAAAAAAAAGGTGAGTCTCGCTCTGTCACGCAGGCTGAAGTGCAGTGGCACAACCTTAGCTCACTGCAACCTCCGCCTTCCAGGTTCAAGCAATTCTGCTGCTTCAGCCTCCCAAGTAGCTGGGATTACAGATGTGCACCACCACACCTGGCTAATTTTTGTATTTTTTAATAGAGATGGGTTTTGCCTTTGTTGGCCAGCCTGGTCTCCAACTCCCGACCTCAAGTGATCCACCAGGCTGGTCTCCCAACTCCTGACCTCAAGTGACCTTAAGTGATCTGCCTTGGCCTCCCAAAGTGCTGGGATTACAGGCATGAGCCAACATGCCTGGCCAACACTTTTTAATTACAGAGTTGATAATGAAACTTGTACCTTTGTCATTGTTTTTAAAATTACTGTAATGATTATAGATACGGAAATGCATTTTGATGTCATACTGCTTGTAAGAAATTCTTCTGACTGGGTGTGGTGGCTCACACCTGTAATCCCAGCACTTAGAGAGTCCAGGGTGGGTGGATTGCTTGCACTCAGGAGTTTGAGACTAGCCTGGGCAACATAGTGAGACCTCATCTCAACTTAAAAAAAAAAAAGTCAGGTTTGGTGGTGCATGTCTCTGTAGTCCCAGCTGTTTGGGAGACTGAGGTAGGAGTATTACTTAAGCCGGGGAGATAAAGGCTGCAATGAGCTGTGATCATGGCACTGTGTTCCAGCATGAGTGACTGAGTGAGACTTTCTGGGGGGGGGAAAAAAAAAAAGTTTTTTCTCTAGATTTAGTCCCAGTCACACATTCTTTTTCTTTAAGTGTGTTTATTTAATTTATTTATTTTTGAGACACAGTCTCTGTCACCCAGACCACATGATCTCAGCTTACTACAACCCCTGCCTCCTGGATTCAATTGATTCTCCTGCCTCAGCCTCCCAACTAGCTGAGATTACAGGTGTGTGCCACCACACCCAAATAATTTTTGTAGTTGTAGTAGAGATAGGGTTTTTGCCATGTTGGCCAAGATGGTCTCGAACTTCTGACCTCAAGTGATCCGCCTGCCTCAGCCTCCCAAATTGCTGGGATTACAGTCATGAGCCACCACGCCTGGCTTTAAGTGTATTTAAAGAAAACTTTGTTTTATTCTTCTTCATGACATCTTTTATAAAAAGGTGATTGTAATTCCTGCTTTGCTTAGTGTTTTCTAATAATTGCCAAAAAGATCCCTAAATTCTAGTGTTTCAGAATTTTTTTTTCTTAATAAGTGTGAAAGTTTTTAGAAACTCTTAGCAGTCTGTAATTGGATCTACATGTACAAGTTGCCATTTTCAGGTGTTGAAATAGATTTGAAAGATAGATGGGTAGGGAGAATTTCTCATTGGTTTGTTATAACTAAAGTTCTTGAAAATTCTTAGGATAATATGTCTTCAAATCCTACTAGAAGTTATTGTTCTTACAAGGACTAGTATTGTAGTTGTCTTTTCAAAGAGTAAAGTGATTTGTTTGAACTTAGTGTTCCTCTAAGAGGAAGTGTTCTGATCACTCATTTTCCCTTTACACTTTGCCTGCATAATTATATATTGCTTATATAAAAGCCTAAACCTTTAATTTTGAACATTAGTTTTTTTGTTAGTATGGTATTCCAAAGTTTAAATATGTGAGAAGATAATATTTCTTTAAAATATTTCTTTTCCTTCATCTTCAGGCTGTAAAAATTAAAATGAACAAACTACGGCAAAGTTTTAGGAGAAAGAAGGATGTTTATGTGCCAGAGGCCAGTCGTCCACATCAGTGGCAGACAGATGAAGAAGGCGTTCGCTCTGGAAAATGTAGCTTCCCAGTTAAGGTGAGAGCTGATGTTTCTATAAGTCTGTATGTGGAAAAGAACTGACAGTCTAGTATGTGAAATCTCATTAATAAGGATAATTAAGAGAATCCTCCACAAACCAAATCCCTTCACAGTCTGCTTCAATGATAGAATTAAATGAGAAAGAAAGGAAAATAATGAGAAAGAAAAGATAGATTTTAATTAGGAAGTTTTCTTTTTGTATTTAAATATGAATTTCTTCTATATAATGTGGAGTCAGTACAAATATTCTGATAAGAATACTAATCCTGAAATACCTAAAGATCTTAAATTATCAGAACTCAAATTTTCAGTGGGATATGCTTACCAGCTGGTGAAGCTGAGGAGTGGAAGTCGGTTCTCTTAAATACAGGTCTTGTGTATTTCAGAAATCCTTAAATGAGAAGAGTTAAATCAAAGGGAATATTTGCTTTAATTTTCTAACTTTTAATGGCACAGAGGTCATTTAATGCCTTCATTTGTTGAATCAGAAAGTGGAAGCTGACAGAGGTTAAAAATGTAATGAAGATCCAGAGAAGGCAGTGACATACAGATGCTTTTTCTTTATACTGCTGGAGACTCTAGAGACAGGTCATATTTTAGTACTTGAAAGAAATATATATGTTATTTACTATTTAGTGAAAATAAGCAATATGTTATGTAATCACAGTGTGAGATGTATTAAATGTGGGGGCAAAAAAATAGAACTAGACCAAATGTTAATATCCTAAAGTAAAAATTGTAGTTTGATATAAAATGTTAGTTTTTTCTATTTACTATATATATATATATATGCACGTGTGTGTGTGTGTGTTTGTATATGTGTGTATATATATATATTTTGAGACAGTCTCTCTCTCCATAGCACAGGCTGGAGTGCAGTGGTGCAATCTTGGCTTACTGCAATCTCCACCTCCTGGGTTCAAGTGATTCTCCTGCCTCTGCCTCCTGAGTAGCTGGGACTACAGGCATGCTCCACATGCCCAGCTAATTTTTGAATTTTGAGTAGAGATGGGGTTTCACTATGGTGGCCAGGCTGACCTCGAACTCCTGACCTCAGGTGGTCTACCCGCCTCAGCTTCCCAAAGTGCTGGGATTATAGGCATGACCCACTACACCTGACCTCTATTAAGATTTTAAACGTGATTTTCATTTGACCAGCAATTTTACATTTCAGAATTGCATTTAAGTACATTTGTAGATATACTAGCATAAGTGACAGTCCTAACATTTGTAATATCAAAAGTTTGGAAACAACTTAAATTCCCAGCTGGGCACAGTGGCTCACACCTGTAATCCTTTGGGAGGCCAAGGCAGCGCATCATAAGGTCAGAAGTTCAAGACCAGCCTGACCAACATGGTGAAACCCCTTCTCTACTAAAAATACAAAAATGAGCCAGGTGTGGTGGCACTCGCCTGTGATCCTAGCTACTTGGGAAGCTGAGGCAGGAGAATCGTTGGAACCTAGGAGGTGGAGGTTGCAGTGAGCTAAGATTATGCCACTGCACTCCAGCCTGGGCAACAGAGCGAGACTCCATCTCCAAAAAAAAAAAAAAAACTTAAATTCCCATAATTCTGGAATTGATTAAACTGTGACACTCATTAACTTGAATTCTTTGCAGTTATTTTTTTTAAGTAAGGTAGATCTATATCATATATTTAGTAAATATTTTTTGAACATCTGCCATATGCCAGGCGTATGCTAGGTGGCAAGCAAACAAGACATAGTTTTTGTTCTTGTGGAGTTTACAGTCGTCTTGTGAGGGAAACAGACTTTAGTTAGATATTTGCGTTAACAATATATTGTTACAGTCTGAGGTAAATATTTTTAAGAAAGAAAATTTAGTCTATAAGAATGTGTAACAAAAAAACTTGACCTAGGCTAGAGGATCACAGTAACGCTTCCCTGGGAAGTAAAGTTTGACTCGATATCTGAAGATGGAGTGGGAATGAATTAGATGAAAAGATGAGTAGAACATTAGAAAATTATTGAAAGCATGTATATGTAGGCATTGAATGACAGGAGGAAAGAATGATAAAGGAAAACTGTAATGCAGAAAGTTGAATGAGATGACCCTGTAGGAAAGCAGGGCAGGACTTTGTAGGCCATGCTAGGATTTTGGACAGGGGAAGCCATTAAATGGTGTGTTCTTTCCATTATTTACTTATTTATTAAGGTAGAGTACATATAACATAAAATTTGTCCTTGTAAGCATTTTTAAGTATACAGTTCAGTGGTATTAAATATATTCATATTGGTGTGCAGTTATCACCACCAGTCCTCTCCTGACCTTTTTCATCTTCCCAAACTCTGTAAATGTTTTTTTTTTTTTTTTTTTTAAGCAAGAATATGGTATCAGGAAAGCATTTTGTGTATGTGTCAAGTGTCTTGTCTTATCTATGTCTCTGTCAAGCTCTTTATTTATTTTTTGAGATGGAGTCTGGCTTTGTCACCAGGCTGGAGCGCAGTGGCACAATCTCAGCTCACTGCAACCTCCACCTCCCAGGTTCAAATGATTCTCCTGCCTCAGCCTTCTGAGTAGCTGAGACTACAGGCTTGCGCCCCCATGCCCAGCTAATTTTTGTATTTTTAGTAGACGGGGTTTCACCACGTTGGCCAGGATGGTCTTGATTTCTTAAGCATCTGCCTGCCTTGGCCTCCCAAAGTGCTCGGATTGCAAGCATGAGCCACTGTGCCTAGCCATCTTATTTATTTTAAAAATGGATGTATTTATAGATTTAGGAGGTATAAGTGCAGATTTCTTACATGCATCTATTGCATAGTGGTGAAGTCTGGGCTTTTAGTGTACCTGTTACCCAAATAGTGGACTTTGTATCCAACAGATAATTTTTCAATCCTCAGCCAACTCTACCCAGAAAAGCACTTTGAAAAAATGACTTTGGCTGCAGTATAGTTTGGAAGTAGCCCATGCTTGATGCAAGGAGCCTAGCAAAAGATTCTCACAGTAATCCAAAGGAGAGATAATGGTAGTTTAGACTAGGGTGGTGACTGTGAAGATTAAGACAAATGGAATAAATTGATAGATAATTAATAGGTAAAGGGAGGCTGATCATGATGGCTCACACCTGTAATACCAACACTTTGAGAGGCCAGGGTGGGAGGATTGCTTGAGCCTAGGAGTTCAAGACCAGCCTGGGCAACATAGGGAGACCCCGTATCTACCAAAACAAAAATGCTCAGTGTGGTGGTACGCACCTATGGCCTGAATTACATGGGAGGCTGAGGTGAGAAGATCACTTGAGCCCTGTGAGCCATGATTGCACCACTACACTCCAGCCTAGGGAACAGAACAAGATCCTGTCTCAAAACAAAAAACATAAGTAAAAGTAGAAGAAAGCTTGTGAGCAGCCACAGAAGAGACCCAGAGCAGTGGTGCCTGGAGTTACTGTCTTATTCTCCAAGAGGTCTGAGCACACTGCAAAGTGAGTTCAGATCTGATTTATCAGAATGAGCCTGCAGGCCCCACGCAGACTCGTGGAGCTGGCAGCGCAGAGCCTGCTGAGGGACCCGTGCTTGGACACCTCCACTCTGGATGAGCTGCCAGGGGAACTCCCCCTGATGTTCATGGAGGCCTTCAGCAGCAGGCACTATGAGATTCTACAGGCCATGGTGCGGACCTGGCCCTTGCCCCGCCTCCCTCTGGGGTCCCTGATGAAGACACCTCATCTGAAGACCTTGCGAGCTGTGCTGGAGGGACTTGATTCACTGGTGTACATGAAGGTTCGCCCCAGGAGGTGGAAACTTCAAGTGCTTGATTTGGGGAATGTTGATGAGAATTTCTGGACCATGTGGTCTGGATCCAGGGCCCTGTCATGCTCCCCAGAGGCCACGAGGTCTGGATCCGGGCCCTGTCGTGCTCCCCAGAGGCCACGAGTAAGAGGCAGACAGTGGAGGACCGTCCAAGGACAGGAGAGCGTAAGCCGTTGACGATGTTCATACATGAGCCCTTGAAGGTGTTCATAGATGTCGGCCTCAACGAAAGTACCCTGGATGAGTGGCTGAGCTACCTCTGTGACTGGATTCACCACAAAAGAGGTTTAGTACAGCTGTGTTGTCGTAAGGTGCAGAATTACCCAATGCCCGCTTCACAATTCAGAAAATTAGTGGAAATGGTATACCCAGACAGTATCCAGGAGTCGGAAGTCCAGAGAAAGTACTCTCTGGATAGACCACCAGGAAAGTTTGCCCCTTACCTGAGCCAGTTAAGCGAGCTTCACAGAGTCTTGGTAGCCTTCGGTTATGATCATGAGTTATCCGTTTGCACCCAACAGCAGTTCATTCCTGACTTGGAAACTCCGTCCCTCAGCCTGGGCTGCCCTGAGAGTTTTTTTTATAAGAATGGCCAATCATATCAATGAACACCAGGACCACCTGCACAGGGCTTTCAAAGATCTGATGGAGAGAGCTGGAAACCATCATTTTCAGCAAGCTGACAAGAACGGAAAACCAAACACCACATGTTCTCACGCATAAGTGGATGTTGAGCAATGAGAACACAGGGACACAGGGAGGGGAACATCACTCACAGGTGCCTGTTGTGGGGTGGAGGGATAGGGGTGGGGGAAGGGATAGCAGGGGGTGGGGGGATAATGGAGGAATAGCATTAGGAGAAATATCTAATGTTCATGATGGGTTGATGGATGCAGCAAACCACCATGGCATGTGTATACCTATGTAACAAACCTGCATGTTCTGCACATGTAGCCCAGAACTTAAAGTATTAAAAAAAATGATAGTTATCATGATGCAGCATTCCTTAATATGAAAGTCTTATTACAAAAAAAAACCATAAGTAAAAGTAATAGAAATTGGAGATGAACAGATCTAAGGAATGAAAAAGAGTAGTATTAAAAATGACACCTGGTTTCTTATTGCACTGAGCAGAGATGAGGATTATTGACACAGGAAATACTGACTTCAGAGAGAGAGAGAGAGAGTGTGTGTGTGTGTGTGTGTGTGTGTGTGTGTGTGTGTGTGT